GGGGGGGGGGGTAGGGTGACATTCCTTGGATAGTTGTTTGGCAGAAAGATGTAAAAGGTATAAAGTGAGAAACAACAGAAGTGATGAATATATCTTGACTGTTGTGATCTTTGCAATTAAAACTCAATCATTTCACTTTACTGCAGGTCTGATGGACATTTGGGTTTTTTGATGATTAATAAACAATACAACTGGAGGCATGAATGCGAAATTACCAATATATTGGCACAGCATTCACATGAAGTACAAAATGAAATTCCTAGTATGTGTAAGGAACATTTCGTCCACAGAAATGGAGATAAAGGAAGGAAAGGTGTGGCACAGGTTTGAGGATAAATCCCTCAGACTGGTTAACACGTCATGGGAAACCCCTCGATAAAAATCCCTAGGTGGGACTAAAGGATTAAATTGTCACGCACGCTGCAAACTGTTTACATAGGAACAGCTAGCTATTAATTTAGCAAGTTTGTTTTGAAAGACTGTAATCCAGTTTCTTTGATTCCGTTTTGAGGAAAAGCTGCATCCATTTATCAAACATGACCAGTGGTCTGGTTCCATTATTTGCGGAAACATTCAGGAATCAAACAAAGCACGCAACTGATTGTACGAAGAATAATCTAGCTCGGGTTCGATAAGAAAACAGGTCGTAAATCTCTGCAGTCAGGGGTTGCACGTTCTGTACAAACACGACCATTGATTCAACTGCAAGGAGACGTTTTAAAAGAGGCCCATTCAACGTGTTTGAAGCGGTCCAGAATAGTCCTGGATTCTGAGAATGAGTTACCAAGAAGACGTCTACAGAGGGGGGCAGGCCTTTCCGTGCTGCTGATTGTTTATCCACTTCCTCTCTCACGTGCGGCCACCCCCACCCCCACACCTGACCCTCGCCGGCCGCATGGCCACAAGCAGGTTATTCTCACACAGGTACAGAATCAAGACGGGGAATCCATTTTTAAGAATGCCAAGAACCGAGGCAGCGTTTGTGGGGTCCGCTCCATCACTTTATCAGAATAAGTCGGGAAGCGGAGTGAGACAAAGAAAGACATCAGAGCAGCGAGGGACAATGGCAGGACTCCTGCGAGCACAAAGAGGGGCTCGAGGACGAGTGAAGGGAGCTTCATTTGAATGCGTGTCTCCATTGTCCACCTGCACAAAAGCCACTGAACCATGGGACTTAATTTTATCTTGACACGTGGCCACTAATTTGAGGACTGATGCATTCTAGGTTCTCATATGGCATCATCTGCAGAAAACATCTAAGTTTAGGCAGTTTTTTTCTGTTAAAATGAAAATGATCAAATTTTCTGAAAATCCTTCAATGCAAATTAAAAAAGACTGGCAACAAAATATAAACAACCAAGCAAAGAACAATGTTTTCTTATACCAATTATTAATGATGCCTTAAATTAAATTGTTTAGGAATGGCTGCCACCTTCAATGTGCATTTGTTTACAGAAGAGCTGTTTGTGGGATTAGGAAACTCAACTATTTTGATCTATTAGAACGTTTTGGCTCAGATTGTTGACAAGAAATATGTAGATAAAATTGCTTTGTTTACAYGGACTGTCACATTTTAAGTATATCTATAAAGCAACTGAAGTAAACCCTTTCAAACGACATCATATAATATACAGTTGAACCTTTTTTATGTTTGATTTCACGTTTCAGAATGAAACCAAAGATCCTTTGTGCAGCCCCTTGACTAAATGAAAGCCACACAGACAATGAAAACTACTCAACGTTAAATTTACAACATTTTATCCTATAAAGAAAAAAAAAGTTCAAAACGTGATTTCAAGCTGTGTTTAAAGCCAGCTGGTAGGAAAAAAAAAAGACCCAAACCCAGTTTGCTGTTTAACTTTTTCAGCCTCAGGTTTCTATCCTTAACTGAACACCAGCTTTGACTCGCAATATGAGTAATAAAACACCAACTTCCTGTAACCAGCAGTTAAAAAGACACAATTACATCTCTCTGTATGCACCGTCATGGGTGAGAAAGACCGAAGCAGGAGCCTGCTCGAGAAAACACACAAACTTGAACGCAAACAGTTGCAAACGAAAGAAAACAAAATCTTGTTTCGCTTTACAAATGCCTCTGAAAGCAGCAAAACCCAGAATACAACCTAAACAAAAAAAGTTACGTTTTATTCTCTTCAGAAGAGGTTTGTGTCTTGTGTACCTTCATACCACACACTCTGAGGGGGAGGAGCAGACAGCAAAGAGCCTTTAATCACTTTATGACAGGAACTCTGAGGTGAATGAGCAGCTAGTGAGGATTCCTCCCATTCACATGCTAAACCTTTATCTTATCACTCGCTGGTGAAGAGGGAATGCACCCTCCACCTATAGTTTCACCTCCACCTTTCATGTTATGGATAAAGCTTGGTGACATTTTAGCAAAGGGAAGAAAACTTTTAAATAAAACTGTATTATTTCCTACATGACTGCCTCTATAATACAAATGTCTCCAAAATAATTTCTAAACAGATCTGTCAGTTATATCTCTTCACATCTCTGGGGGAGGATCTCTCCCTTTAAGGGCCAGTTTTCATGCAGCTCAGGAGCCTGTTGGTGTATGTTAAAAGTGCGTAAGCTCTACTGAAGAAAAAAACAAAAACAGGCCTCTATCATGTGGTCTAAAACAGTGGTTCGCAAACTTTTTATCTTCTGACCCACAAAATATCCATGGCAAAAACTTGTGACCCCAAATATTACTGGTCTGAKTACACGAACGTTGTTAATAACCCTAAAAACACAGGCTTTTGACAATCTAAACAGCTTGTACACAAATATAATTAGTTATTTATACTTATTTTGTGTTTTTGTAATAGTTATAGGGAAAATATTACATCAGCAATTATTTTATTACCCTTTAAATTGATTTCTGGAGATTATCCAAGGTGCTTCATGACCCATAATTGGGTCAAAGCCCAACTTTGGGACCCAAAGTGCAGTGGTTCCCAAACTTTTCAGCTTTTGACCCATAAAATAACAGTAGCAGAGACCTGTGGCCCCCAACTATTTTTGGATGATAAACATTTTTATCAGATCAACTAAACACTGGCATAGTAACAATATTTTTATACTACATTTATCCATTTTAAATACACTAACCTCACTCCTTTGTAACAACTAAGGCAAAAATGTAATTAATTCAGAAAATCTTTTCAGGACCCCACCTTGATGTTTCGGGACCCCACTTTAGGTTCCGACCCCAACTTTGGGAAACACTGGATGAGTCCAGCTGCAACATGTTTCAGCTGATCCAAAAAGCATATATACAGCCACCAGACCTGTCAAATTTCTATTTCGCTCTAAATTTAAATAAACAGTACCTGTTAATATTTAGATTTACAATGTTATTTCCTGTAAGATGGTATTTTAATTCGGCCGCATTTTCAATTAAATTCCTTTAATTGTTTAAGAAGGAAGTCCATCCCAAATTAACTGAGCTCCATTGAAAACAGGTGGAGGGATCTCTCCATCATGAGTTTTTTTAAAAGTCAAAAATAAAAAGAAATAAAAAAACTGCCTCCGTGGAAGTCTTTGTCGGGACACAGGAAGTGGGACCACACGCGGTTCGGTTTCAGCTCCTACCTGATGGACGAACACGTCCACCGGTTCGTCCAGCGCCACTCCGTCCCGGCTGGTCATGGACAGAAACCCGAAGCCCATGCGGACGTTGAACCACTTGCACACCCCGGTTCCGTGGAAGGACGGCGACTCTTCCTCCGCGCTCGGCCCTTCATCCTCCTCGGTCTTACAAACTCCTGCAGTTCAAGAAATAATTGTGCGGAAATATAAAAAAATAAAAATAAAATAAGAAATGCAGATTTGCCCAAATTTGCGCACCCGATTTAAAACAAACGAAGCTTTTTTAAAAAATTGTCCTTTTTTCCCCCCTGAACGCACCAATCGATACGAATCAATTAATACAAACACAGGAGGGTCAGATTGCGCAAATATGTCGCGGTTTAAAAAAAAAATAGAGAAAATATTTAAAAAATAAGTTTATATTTTGTTAGTATTTTTAAAAAACAGAAATTGGGCAAACTTTGTGCCCAAATAAGTGATTTCTGAAATACATTTAAGCAAAAACAAAGCCCTGAGATGTTCCAGTGCAATCAGAAAAGACAGCTTCATTAAAGTCGTGCAAGCATCAAAGTGCAGCTTATTTATTTATTTATTTAATTTTTTT